TGAAAGTAGGACTTCTCTTCTGCATGTTGTTTTTCCAAGCCGTGAAAGATTCTTCATCTTTGGGGCCGTCGCTGTGCATGAAAGCCTCACTCTGAAGATTGTGCAGAGTCAAGACAGTGATTTGGTGGGCGCGCCTAGTTCTAGTTAAGTGTGCTGCCTTCAGATACGAATCGGCCGTGCCAGATGACGCTACCTCTGCCTCTGTGAGGGCTGTGGTCCAGCCAGAACCTTCTAAGACATCCCCAAGTGTGTTCCATAGTGCCATTTCTGTGTGCAGACCTCCTAGCATAACCACATGCACTTTCTCACCATGAGTGTCTGGCCATTTCCACTGTACAAACTTTGCCAAGGCAAACAGAGGCTGGTCAAATGTCGTGACTGGGATTTGTCCTGGGTTCAGAAATTCGACAGCTTGGCTCTCGACATCCATGCCATGCTTAATCATAGCAGGAGTTGCAGACTTCTCATAAAAGAGAGGAAGGAGTGCACATTGTGCTGGAGGGTCTTCTACCGGAGGTTGATTAGAGGCATGATAGGCAGCCCATGAAATAGTATCTCCACTGATGAGTTCTTTTGTCTCTAGAAGTGGCAGTGAATGCTCTACCCAACTGTGTTCCCCTGCTTTGGCCGCATCTAAGCACCTCTCGAGTGGAAACACTTCACTTTCTGGCACCGCAACAGCAGTTGTCTTCAAAGCTGTGGCTGGTACATAGGCGTAGCTATCAGGAAGAGCATGCTTTTCATTTCCAGAAGGTGGTATCACAACAGGTGCTCTGCTCTCGCCAGGTTTGGCCTTGGTAGGCAACTGTAAAAGGCTGATTCCAGTCCCATGGAATGATGTTTTGGAAGTGGTTGAGCTCGGGTTGTGGTCTAGGTTGTCGAGGGCGCCAACAGTGAACACACCTTTCCGGAGGCTAGCCGGAGACACCACTCCATCTTCTACAAAGCGTTCACAGGTAGAAGTTGCGATCCATTCCTCAATCTCCATAATCCTGTCATAAGAAATGCTGATGCCAAAGTGATATAACTGCGTGATGAGCTTCTTGCTTCTAGTCAGTGCATGCATACTGATGCCAATATAGATTGGGAGGGGTGGTTCACGCTCCAGAGTGTGTCTGGTCTTCACAGTGGTATCAGATGACCGTTTCTTTGTATTGTAAGTGATGCACTGGCTGATTGTGAGGCAAGCCTGGGAGTCACGCTTGTCTTGATGTTTTAAGTTGGGACCATTCAAGATCATGGAGACAAGAGACTTGATGCTTGAGGGCAGTGAGTCTTCCTGACATTCTTCCGGGAAGCAACCAGTGAATTTGAAGCCTTGATGGTTAAAGATGTCTTTTCTTATTATTGTAGCAGCATTGGCCAAGATAACAGCGTCTGCTGAGAAGTCTCGACTCGTCAGAGCTTCTTTCAACATATTGTGCATGCCTTCCTTGAAAATGAGTACAGTGTTTTTCCCAGCATACTGTTCTTGTGCCTCTGAGAAGCGTCCTAGCAAACGAACCTTCAGTCTGGTCTTGTTGACTTGTTTCTTGATACCCAGTTCTTTAAGACGAGTCACATACAGATCGTGAACCTCATTCAACTTGAAGAGGAGAGTTCCAGAATCCACAGACTTCTCAATGTAGCTGGTCAGTTCCACAAATGCCCGAGACTCGTTCATTTTTTCATCTGTGTTTTCAGCTGCTTGGCCTGCCTTGCGGGTATGACTACGGTAGCGATTTCTTAGCTTGGTCAGACATGTCAGATGGTATTTTGCCTCCATTGCAATTAGATCTCCCCCAACTATTCTAGCCATAAGCAGGGTATCATTTAGCTCTGTGATCATGTCCCTGATATTTTTGTCGGTATCCAAGGTTGAAACTTCATGGAGAACATTTTCTTCTTCACCTTTCTCACAGAATATACACCTTTGAACATCTAGTGATTTGCGCTTACTGGGCCTTTTCTCTTCACCATCAGGGTTAGGCTCTCTCTTCTTATTTGTCTTTGCCAACTTGGAATTGTTAAACTTTAAATGGCAAGATTTGTGCCAGGAGGCAGAATGAGAAACAAAATTGTCAACAGTTTCATCACTCCCAAAATAGAGTTTCACAGGAAGAGCACCAATATTCCTGAACTGTTCTACGTTGGTCAGGAATGATGTGTAGGCACATGCCTTGTCAACACTTGTCCTAGGACTCTTTAAGGGACACTTCAAGGGTTCAGCAGTGTCGTGCTGGCAAATCACACAGCGATCCCAATTTAGCTCCATGTTTAGTCACACCCTAAAAAGAAACAAATGTATTGGAATACTATGAAAGGTGTCCGAGGCCACTACAATATTTAGTAGGATGTAGGTTCAATGAATTCAGGCTGTTGGCTCATTAATTCATGTCTCATATGTTACCTTCTTTTTTCTGAGCAGAGCTACATATTATGTGTGTATCAAAGTAACACTCGACAAGTTAAGCCTAATGTTCTCCATCAAAATGATGATGAACTATAATCAATCTGTCTAGCCCATTGCCCTGCTTCATCTATACTCATCAATGCTTTGATTTTCTTTCACAACTGTTTATTTAATTATAGACTTTTCACCCTATTAACAATCAATGAGTTCCCTGGCAACATAACACAAAAAGACATGAACTCACAAGCATTCATAAGCACGCCTGTTAAATTTACATACACACACATACAATCATTCATATTCATACCAATCTACCCCTATGCAATTCAACACACTGCACAGTCCCAATTTGGGCGCATGCACTGCCAACTACTCAACTATTATGCAATGTGTATCCAACACACTTACTATGCACACACAGCACATCATTTAAACTTTCTTGACCTTTCCAACTCTAAAATCAGTTTTGTATAGGAGGACACTAAACCACAAAGTTGTCATATAGTCTGTAACTATCAAAGAATGTAACAAGTAAAGAATGATACCTTATCTCTCTATTTGAATAAAGATGTTTATGGATAGAAATCTGATAAAAATAAGGTTTTTTCTTACCTGATACATAATGTGCTGGATTAGTGAACTTCAGATTAAGTAGGTCACAAATGAATGGACAAGAACAAAGAACGCCATCACTCATCAATATGTGCTTAGTGTCTGCTTCAGAATACGTCTTACATGTTAATACTCTTTATAGAGACTGGAAATATCTAAACTCAAACAACAAAAACAGGCAATTATCAGAGTAGTGGATAAATTGAGGGGAAAAAATAAAATTTGTGAACATTTGATAAAACAACACTTCTCAAGGAACTAACGGCTCATCACATTAAGTACCCATTATATATATAGGTTTATGGTTCAATAATTACTTTGGTAAAACTGCTTGTAGGTCCATTTGTAGTATTGCAATTTATCCAAAGTTGGATTCAATTTGATCAGTGGCCTCTACACAAATATTTCGTAACCATTTTAACCTTTTTATCATTCACAAATGTCGGCTAACTTGAAAATTCTGTGTTTTACATGATTTTTTCAAAACTTTCGAAAGGCTCCTAGGCTATGATTAGTTGATAGTAACGCTTAGCCACCTGAAATGAGCGTGTTCTGTTGTTAAGACTAATTACTGGCAACTGGCAACATTTTACCCCAGAGTATGCAAAGTATTAAGGTTTAAAAAAAAATCAATGCGGGGGCTCCGAAACAACGCCCCGACCCTCTTCACACGTATGTGATTGTTTTGCCGGGGGCTCCTTCCTTAATATCATTCAGTAGGTCCTAGGAGAGCTCTGTACTAATACAGGCTGTCATATAACCACAAACCAATGTGATCTTTCATGATATCTAACACGGGGGCTCTGGTACGACGCCCCCGCCCCCAAAACACACCTATATAAATGTTTTGTTGGGGGCTCCAACCCTAACAGCGTTTACCAGAAATTGCATTCGTGCAAGAAAAAAGTTTTTTTTTTTTTTTTTTTTTTTTTCCTTTATAGTTTTTGGGGGGCTCCGGGATGATGCCCCCGCCCCTACACCCTTATATGAAATTATTGCCAGGGGGTCCTACCCTACTACCTTTCAGTAGGTCCTAAGGAAGCCCTGTACAAAAGCAGGCTGTCGTATAACCACAAACCAATGTGATCTTACATGATATATAATATGGGGGCTCCGGTAAGACGCCCCCGCCCCCAAATCACCCCTATAAACATTTTTTTTTTGGGGGGGGGGCTTCAACCTTAACATCGTTCAGAAGGTCCTAAAAAGCCCTGTACCAAAAATTACATTCGTACAACAACAATTCAATGTTATTTTACCTTATATATTATTTAGGGGCTCGGGGATGACGCCCCCGCCCCCACACCTTTATATCAAATTTTTACCGAGGGCTCCTAGGCTATTATCGTTCAGTAGGTCCTAAGGAAGCCCTGTACCAAAAATGGCGCTTTTGTCCGCCGTGTAACGATAATCGATAATTTTGACGCTAAGCCACCTGACTATAGTGAATGACAGACGTGAAGGTGATGGAAGTGACTACCCCTCACAGGTTTTTGAAGATCGATGTATCAAAAAATTACATTCAGGCCTTAGCAAAACTATAGTATAAAAACAAGCAATATACTTTTTTTGCATTTCATTTTTCTCGGTATTTACTTGTACATTTTTAAAGGATATTATGCGAGGTAGCGTAGCTACCGAATGAGAAGATTTTTTTCATTTGTATTCGTCTAAACGCTGCACTATATTGGGCCCTCTAGAGCCTAAAGGTGTATTGCAGTCTTTAGTCAGTATTTGCTACACATTTTTGTTTACTTTTTCAAATTTTGAGGGCGGACGACCCCCCTTAAAACAATTGAGGGGGACGTGTCCCCCCACCCTGTCCCCCCGGGATCGCCGCCCCTGCCATTCATACATATGCCCCCTCTCCCCTCCCTTATTCAAAACGTTGTATCCAACTTCCCAAAAGCCCTCTGGCTTGGCAGACTGAGCAACTCCTCGGATACTATCGGATCGTATATACTCCATAGATTACATTCTAAATTTTGAAAAGCGCCATCTTCATCCAGGCCATAAACAAAACACGTCGGCGTCCGGTCTGCAAGATGGCTGCGGCAAGAAAGGAAATCGACAATTTTGATGATATTGATTTTCAAGATGAAGTTGAAATTATATGCAACTTCTTGAGATGGGATTCGTTTCCTAAGAGTGGTACAGAAAACTTCAAGCGTTTGTTGGAGAAAAGGGCTCAGGATTTCTGTGTGGAAGCGTACATTCCCACCGACGATGCGAGCCCTGCACTTCCGTGGCAGTTGTTCTACACGGGCAGCCCCGAGAGTAGCGGCGACGAGCAAGTGGAATACCTGCAGGAGGTGGGAGAGCCGCAGGAAGGTCAGAGCGAGGGGTCAAAGCGGTTGGTTATTCCTCATCCCCGGAAGCAGCGTAATGTTTTAAGCAAAGTGCATGAAGGAAAGGAAGGTATGTTGCTTTGTAGGGTCCTGACAAAGTTACAGATCTTTATTTTTATTACTGTTTAGATCTAGAGCAAAACGATGCTACCGGTAGTTCAGCTCAGAACTTACAGAAGCCTATAGGCTATACAAAATTTGACCTGTAGGCTTATCTCCGACCTGGAGATGCCCCACTAAAACATACCCAAAATGAAGTAAATATTCATCAAATATTGAAATAACGATCATGAGTTAAAATTCTTTATATTTATTAGGCCTACCCGTTTTGTGTCAATTTTCTTGTTATTTTTGTAGTATTTTTTGGAAAACTGTTGATATTAGTATACACTTTTTCACAGGTTTTACGGCAAACCGCTGCACAATACGAGTGCATACAGATGGTGGGTTGCGTGGGTTGTGGGTGGGCGTACGCCTGTGTGAACTTATCTACCGTAATGTCTCAGATCCTCATGATCATTATGGTAGATAACTTTACACAGGCGCGCGCTCATAGGTTGATTTACCCGACTGCAAAGAAAGCAAGTTTATGTTTGAACTTTGAATGTCATTAATGATTAATTATGTTAATGGTGCACGTTACACTTCTTGCAATAGATGCACAACTTACTCACATAAGTCACATTTAATCTGCCAGAATCTTCAGTAACCGACAAGAAGAATAGCAAGACTTGCATTTTAAAGATATTGTGAAAATGTGAAATTATCTTTAAAAATTAAAATATTTCAGAGAGTAAAACTTCACATTTTGACAAGATGAGCTACGTGTAATTATTCTCTGTATTCAAATTTCGAACTGTTTAGAGCCAAAAGACTATAAACTCTTACTTTCACAAAGGATTAATGCCCTTCAGGATCCTGACACATCTTATAGGCTCTGATACTCTGATGAAGTTGTTGTCGTCTTTCTTATTTTGTCTGTAGTTCTACTTTTCCCATACAATATCAGCATGAATTTGTTACTTTTGTTTTTGGCAGGTACAGGAGTGCATCTTACAGGTTATGAGATGTGGGAGAAGATAATTCCGGTATACTACTGGAGGCACATACGTACCAGTATCATTGACTTCCTTAAGAACTGTGAGACCTGCAAACTCCAGGACCCTGGAACTGGCCCTGAAACTAGTCCTGGAACTGATTTTGGGACTTCAGGAAGCAGTGTCAACAATGATGGGGTAGGTTCCCTACAATAGAGAAGGAACAGATTGTCAATTTTTTTGATCTTTTTTGCTAAATTAATATTAAGCCTGGTTTCTTATGTTGCCTTCATTTTGAAGTACCATCGAACATCTCTCTTCAAATTTGAAGATATATATCTACTACCAGTTAATACAATTTATTTCATTTTTTTTTGTATTTGCAAACAATATTCACTTCAGGTATTGACAGTTCATCATTAGCAGCTGGTCACACCAGTACAGTCCCTGTAAGGAGAGTTCCAAATAGGCCAATGGAATTGGTTTGCAGCCGATGGAGTTTTGTGTCACTAATTCATTAAAAAACAAAATTAATAAAATATTCCTAAGGCATGTAAAAAATGAATTTGTGGAGCAAATGGAAAAATATCTGAGTATCTTTTCATCACTTTCAGATTTTGTTTGTGGGAAATTGTTTGTATTTTGTTTGGACAACTGTACATAACATGTATAGTCTAGTGATGTCCCATTACTACTCCAAATAACTGTGTGATCGCACAAAGTTGGGCATTTCCGATTAACTTGGTAGATCTAGGCTTGTGTGCCTTTCCTAATGTTTATCTAGAAATATCGATACCAGCTTCTTCTATCACAAAGAGGGAGGTAGATTTTCAGGTACTGCAACTGTGTGAGGATGATTCAAAGTCCCCTCCCCCCCCCCAAGCCTTCACAAATCACATTTTGCCTGTAATTTGTAATTTAAAGCCCTACTGTACTACTTGTAGCTACTTGCTCCCTCTATATAGAAAACTTCCCCAATCAGTGCCTATTGGTCCCCCATGATCCTCTTTTTCTTATGTTAATTGAGAGTGGAATTAATGAGATAGCCACCTGTCAGTGACCCCGCTGGGTGGTCTAATCCCTTCTCGCTGAACTAGTACAGCCGGCCTTTAAAGTCACCCAAACTTCCCAAAGCAACTTGCTACAAAGGGTGCCCTGTAATTGATTCACCCCTTCTGTAGAATGTTATCTGCGATACATGTGTACTCATCTAATGGCGGAAAATGCTAATTTTGTTTCACCCCAGTAAGTTCAATGAGCATAGTTGGTTTTCTTCACGATAACAAAAATGACCAAAATCTGAAGATCTTCATCATCACATTGATGAAGCAAGCATACATGTACATGTCTGACTACAATACAAAATAAAAATGCAATTTGATTTGTTTATCGTTCAAAATTAATAATGTTGTATCAATTGTTTTTTTTATACACAGTTTTCGACTTTTGAAGAAGATGGAGACGAAGCCTTCGAGAAATTCCAATTATCCAATGAGCTTCCATACCATGAAGAAGTCGATCAGGTGTACAACTACCTCAAAAAGGGCAAATACCCAGCCAACACTACAATCAACTTCAAGCGTTGTCTACGACGCAAGGCCCAACACTATGTCCTAGGGGACGATGATGCAGATGAAACAAACGGAGTGTCTTCAAGGAAGCTCTACTTCTTGAAGGCTCGTGAGAGGAGGGCAAGGAGGAGCGATGCAGGGGCGGAGGGCCAGGAAGGAGAGGACGTACGCGGGAGACTTGTCGTTCCACTGGCTGGGGAGCAACAGAGGATCCTCCAAGTTGTACACATTGGTGAGTTAGGTCCTTTTTATTTTGTTTGCTGAGATACAGTGAGAACCAGAGGGACGCTAACTTGTAATATTTTTTTGTTCAGAGGTAGTGCCCTTCTGGCTCTCAGCCCTTTAGCATTTGCCATTGATAACAATCATTATGAAACAGGATCCTGGTTGTAAATGCTACTCAAGAATTGGTATGAGAAGCCTTTCTGGACAGACTACTGTAAACACTGTTATTTTCGCGATCCCAAAAGGCCAAAACATATTCGCTGGTTCTTAAACTCATAATTATAGACAACTCTCCCCTTCGTCATAATTTGTATTTTACTCAAAGTCGCCTTCTCCATTGGGGCACTAGTCAAAAATATATTGTGGATAGCATATGATTTTAGGTCCTCTAAAAGCAAAAACCCTACATCTTTACCCTTTTGTATGTTAAAATTAAAAGGATAGTTGTCTGGCACTACGATATAGTAGCATGACCGTCTCAGCCACTTTTTGAAGTGCCGATATGTTTTTCTTATGGTTTGTCCAATTGCATTCAAACTTTCACGGATCTGTTTGGGTGACTCTTTTACGTTCTTAGAGAGTAATTTTCTATTAAGGTAGGACTATCCTTTAAAGTTTCTCACCATGACATTTCTGCACATGTATGTGGTTAACAACTGCATTATTCATACCCATATAAACTAAGTTTTTTAATATTTTAAGTATGTGAAAAATTCATTTGTCTCGAATTACATTTTTCAACAATGTGACAAATAAACGCTAACTTCTAAAAGTATTCAACAAAGGGCCTGCTTCAACCAGTCCACTTTTCACTTTTGAGTTACAAAAAAAACCCACACACACACACACACAATTAATTTACAAGGCAAATGACTAATTTATTTTTTAACTGTATGTAATGTTCCTCTCAACAAATTTTCATTCATTTCTCATTGATAGCACTGGATTGTTTTTTCCCTAGTGACCAAATGATATACGTGTAGATACTGAAATAGAAAGTTTCATCATTTTGATTTCCTGAACATATTATCTTGCACCTTAACCCAATACTGTACTGGGCTATTTTGAGCACCCTCTGACTGGGGGGGGGGGGGGGGGGGCCTCGGAGGCCCCCCCCCCTATGATCTCGGCCGTCGAATGTCCGATGAACACGAAAATTTGCATATTTGTAGATATTTACGTAAGGAACAAGATGGTATAATTAGTTTTTTCCTAATATGCAAATTTTTGTCGTTATAGCCTAATTAATTATGCAAAATGCTAATTTTATGCATTTCACAGAAAACTCTACATATTTGTCCGTAGACTTGTGAAGAATCTTGAAAATGTATTGAATAAATGTTACCTTCATCTCAAATTCATGAGGTTTCATTATTTTTATGATATTTGAAAAAGCATAGGTTAATTTGCATAAATTATGAATACGCAAATTAGGCATTCATAAATATCAAATCTGGAACTATATTTAGGGAACTAGAATCATTACAAAAATTGTCAGACTCCACTTTTTGAATGTTGAAACTCATTATTCATACAAAAATTCTTTTCTAATACAAAATAGTTATTTGATGTAATTAATAATGATAATTTATGCAAATTTGATGCGATTTTCAAATATTTATTTTCTTATGTATTTTATTGTTTTTTATTTCTTATTATATCTATTGTTTTATTTCTTATGTATTCTTTTGTTCTGGAATACATCAAGTTACTCTGAGAAACATATAAAAGCAATTTGATATCAATTCATATCTTCACATTTCTGCTTGTACATGAATATATGCAATTATAGCACTTTTTTGATGACATGCGCATACTAATTGTTATGTAACACCTTACAGGTATATCCGATTTTGACGAAAATGGTATCAAAATGTGCGCAAGACTTGAAGGAAAAAAGTCATGAAACGACAATTCAAAATTCCAAGCGGTTGCGGCGCGATCTCCGAAAATGTCGAGGGGGGGGGGGGCCAGTACAGTAAGGGTTAATACTAGGGGTTAGACAGATGTCATTGAGAAAAAATAAGTTGTGTTTTATCTTCAGAGTTTGCTTGGAAATGTCTCAAAACTTTTATCTCTTGTAGGACCATCGGGTGGGCACTGTGGCCGTGATAAAATGCTCAGCTCCATTTCCCAGGATTACTTTTGGAAGGGCATGTATCAGAGCGTCGTAAGCTTCCTGGAGACCTGCAGTGAGTGTAAAACGAAACGCTCAGATGCAAAGAGGAAATCTTTGAACCAGCAGGATGTCAAGAAAACTCCTACAACTAAGCAAGCTTCTAAGAAGGTACAATACCGCCCAGAAGTTATTGGGCATGCGGGATCGTGTTTCACGATAGGAGGTTAGCGTGATTGTAGACGGGTTTTATCGTGTTTTTATCGTGAGAAACATCGTGATTTGTATTCATCTCTATCATGATTTTTTTCCTCAACTTGATCAACTCGCTAAATCCCCGATGCATATCGTGATATTTCCTTTATATCACGATAGAACTGCGCACAGCATGCTGTATTTATACGCTTGCTGAGCCTGCGCATCCTCAAACATACCGATGCGCGCTTGCCACTGACGTCACAATCACTTGATTATTACATCACAAAAGCGTGAATGAATGCTCTTTTCATTCCATGCATAAATACACGAGACAATGTGCTACGGGGAATGTTTGGGATTGCGCATGCGGAGAGAAAAGTTATCCGATGAGAGAAGTGCAGAAACCAAGAACCAGGTGTCTAATTGGCCTTTCCCACGATACGACATCTTTTTTTTATTTGAGGGGGGAGGAATGTTTGGGATAGCTCATATCATGGCAGAGGAGATCCGAGAGTAAATCAAAAGTTAGACCGAAAGCTTCAGTCTCTAATATCGACGGCTATTCCGCTTATGTTTAATCCGAGAAAGACTTGTCGTTAACATTATTTGTTGTGCAGCCATCTTGATTTGAGTTAATGAATGCTCTTTTTTTCCGGACGTCCGATACCTACATGTGCGTACGAGTCAGCACGGCTTGACCCGGTGATATTTTGATATTCATAAACGCGTGATCTAATTCGCCTAAATTTCGCCATTGCAATTACTTGATTAAAATTGTAAGAATTTTAAGAAATATACATAGTTTCTTATGTCCGATTTATTGATCGGAAAATTAGATCTAAATAAGGAAAAACGGGAAGAAAAGAAAGGCTCACCCCCCCCCCCCCCGTCGTGCGAGCCGTAAGGGTCACCGTCTGTGTATGAGCATGAGGAATGTTGACAAATGTAAGATTTATCAAAGAGTAATGACCCATATCAGACGGTTATTTCTGTCTAATCGAGAGTATTCATCATTACATGTACATATCAGATCTAATATGTGGGTAGAATCTTAGAATTTATGGATAAATGCGGCTGTTATTTCTAGAAGAATTATGTGTATGTTGTGAGATTTTCAGGAAGGCGTGAATAATTAAGGGAAGAGGAGAGAAGAGGCGAGAAGAGGCGGAGGGGTACCGTTACCGTTAGCGTGACAGGGACAGAAAAGAAAGAGGGAAGGGAGTGAAGAGTGAAATATATCAGACAAAGATAATTAAGAGAGATAGAGAATTGAAAATTAACAGAATAAATAAAGGATCCGTAACTCCAAATAATAAAAAAAATATAATTATTTTATTCATTCATAATACCAATCGGTTGACCCTGTCCCTACACATTACAAATTTTGCCACAGACCGCAAACGCCATTTTCATAAACCAGTATTATCAAAAACAAAAGCAACGCGATCTCGATCAGCCAATGTACCTCGTGGTCCACAAAGTAGTTGAAATTTGATATGTAGTGCGCGCGCTCAGGGATTCCCGGAATTGGAAAACCCCTCGATCTCGATCTCCATTTTATGACATTCAGTTTGCATGCAAGCTAAATACATGTACGCATACCTGGGTTGGCAAGCTCCCGTAATCAAAATTGGAGTAATACATAAGGAAATAACAAAGAAATACACGAGGATTGAGGACAAAATATAAAATGATAGAAAAAAATCTAAGAAAAACATAAAGTATTAAAACACATTTACGAAGGAATAAACCAGAAGAATGATTAATAATGATAATAATAATAATAAATAATAACGGCTTAACAAAGATCTACATATGGTAAGAAATAAGGATAAACAGCAAAAAAAATGATTGATCGAATTGATAGCGAGAAAAACAAGGAATTAAACAAAGGGGGGGGGGTGATTGTGCAAGGGGGTAATTCTCCTTGAACCGTAAGGAACAAGCGAAGGGAATACATACACATATTTATATTTCGAGAAAAGGTAAAACAAAGAAATAAAAAAACAGAAAAGATGATGTGGTAAAGATTTAAAAAAATGCACGCGCTTATAGTTTTCTCTCGAAGGTTCAATCATCACTACTATGATCACGTGATCTTACGGCGCGAACATGATCTGTTTATACTAACTTCTGAGATAACCACATGCTGCCAGACACCTTGACTCCAAACCCATTGTTTAGAAACACTTGAAACACAATATGAAATGTACGTAAGCTCTCTTGTCATTTAAACATTCAATTCATTGGCGAAAAAATTAGAATTTCCGATTGATGAAGTTCTCTGCTTGTTTCGTCTGTCTATTTGATTTGATTTTTAGATTTACTCTTCTCTTCGAATAAACGTTAGAGGGACTAGAACAGGAGCTATTGTAAAAATGTCCACAAAAATAAAACACAACTTCGCGAATGATAGTGATACGGGTCTGCTTTTAAAAATAAAATCTATATCATATTCTAATGCGAAGCAGCAAACCATGAATGAATCTAAAAGGTTGAAAGGTTTGTTTTAATTCTTAATCTTAAATTGACTAACTATCTCTTAACAAATAATTGCGAATGTTAATCAAAGCCAAAGGCTGGACATACGAGAACATAATGAAATGCATCATCTTGTACTTTGAGATCACATATGGAACACAATTCTACAATTTCTAGAGGCTGACTTTAGTGACGGTCAGGTGCAGACGGCAGGGCAGCTTACTATTACCACATCGATATTTATAAAGAGATGTTCTATCACTGAAATCCAACTTTAACATATATTCTTCCAAACCGATTTCCTGTTTAAAAATTCTGTAATTGAAACATGAACTTCATGAACTTGATCGTTCCAGTTTTGCAAATCAATGTCATTTAATCTACGATCCAACTTTTTTTCTTCCTTTCCAACATCCTATTTTTTAACATCGCCATCGTACAAAGTAATTATAAATGATAAAAAGAAAAAGAGGTGTGAATGACCTAGTTTTCAATCTTCGGTTAAAAATGTCATTGAATGTTATCTTTGTTATTTACGATGTGTCAGCCGAGGGGAGCCAGCTCTCAACGCATGTGGCAGACATAATCCTACTGTTTATTTCTCAAAAGTAAATGTACGTAAATGTCTCCCTTAGTATGATTTCGCTAGCCTGCGCTCCCATCAAACATTTTTCTTTCTCTCTCTCTCTCTTTCTCTCTCTCTCTCTCTATTACGTGTAGTCCCCCCCCCCCCCCCCCCCCCCCCCCTCGTGAAGATACTAGTGGGATTTCCTCTCGTCTCTCTTGCTCTCCAAATACGTAGGTCCATGCTCTCACCCTCTTCTTTGTCACATTTCTCCACCCATGAACGTTTTCGTCTAGTGTCGATGAATAAGGAGTGGAAGTAGAAAGGTGTACGGAAAATAGACTAACGTATTGGTGTCTTGCCTACTTATATTTAGTCAACCCTGTTAAGTAGATAATTATCCATTTTATTTGTTTTTTTCCCCATCCTGACCTCGATCATAACTCCTTTCCTTCTCGAATAATATCTTCATCTATATCCAGCTCAACACTACCTCCCTCTCAATTATCTCTCTCTCTCTCTCCTACATGTTTTCCTGTTAATTCAACTCTGGTCTAATCCACACTCCGAAGACAGTTACAGTAATTGATCCATGCCATTTTTACAGATTTTATTATTTATCAATCATCCAATGCCGTCGACTAAAAATGTTTATTTACGCGTGTTTTGGTAACCTTGGTTACTAGTCCACCTGGCAACTTTTACGCGTGACCAGTAGGCAAGAATGTCCATGATTGGACGTTTTCTTTTTTAGGGGTGGAGACCCTTCTTACGGCAGTCTTGTCAGTGATACTGATAGGGCAAATGAAAGAATCTGATCGCGTGCGTGTTTTCTGAAGCGACGATCTTGGGAATATTTTTATTTTATTTGGTGGAGGTTGAATTGAATTGAATTGAATTTATTCACCACTTTCATGGTTGTGGAATGAGATACGCATATTTGGAGTAGGCGAACAGAAAATATGGCAGTGAAAATGAAAGGTATTGTGCTCACAATTATAATTTCAATGAATGCAAATCATGCAAGTTTTTGCAACTTGAATATAGTTAGATCTACTCGTTGCTTCACCGCATCAGTACCCGATGCTTATCCGCGCCCAGTGTCAGTGATTTAGCGACGGCTTTTACTAGTATTTAACTGTGTGTAATGTTTACTCGTGAATACTTTCTATTGTGACGTAAACAAAGACACATACGGAACTGCGCGTACAAATTATCAAGACTTAGCGCGCGCGATGAGCAAGACATGCGCTTGCAGAGGACATGACTTGACTAGTTGCAAATACGCGCACCATGAAACACGATAGACTATCGGGGGATTAGGCGGGTTACGCGCATCCCCCGATAGAGGAAACCATTCACTAGTGTGCAAATTATCGTGATTTTTATCGTGATTCTATCAGTATTTCATCGATATTTTATCGTGATTTTATCGTGAAATACCCATCGGGGAAAACCCGCCCCGCAAAAACATGCCCAATAACTTCTGGGCGGTATTGTAAATGTAATAATAATGATGATAATAATAGGCATTTCTGTAGCACCGTCTATCTAGAAATTCTATTCCGAGACGCACTAATTATTACCCTGGCTTTAGTCTAGCTGCCATTACAGTGCTCCAGCATTTCAAGGAATTAATTCCTGCCAGGTACCCATTTACCTCACCTGGGTTGAGTATGGCAAATGAAGATTAATGCCTTAGGACATTAGTACCGTGTCGGGGATCGAACCACGACCTTTGAATTTCAAGTCAAGTGCTTAAACCACTCGACTGCGACACTTCTATAGTTTAGATGTTTGCATTGTCAGCCAAGTATTTGTTCAAAATCAAGAATATGGTAACCTTCAGTCTTTTTGACTACCCTGAGAAGATATCGTAAAGGGAATTACATTTATGATGCAATACAATGAAATAGCTGACCATCTAGTTCAGTGGTATTCAACCTTTGAGCCCAAAGGCACAACCCCACCTGGCTTTCCTTCCACTATGGTGGTTCCGATGACGTAGTCTTGATTAGTACTATGTCGTCATGAATTTAATTGCAAGATTTTTATATCATTTATTTATTTCAATGTAAAAGGTGAAGAGGGACAAGAGAGTCATGACCAGAAGCTGTACCCAAGCGTACAACAGCCACTTGCCACTCAAAAAGAAGCTGATTGGTACTATTACGTCATGAATTTAAGTGCAGGATTTTTGAAATTCTTATTCATTTCAATAAAAAAGGTAAAGAGGGACAAGAGAGTCATGACCAGAAACTGTACCAAAGCATGCAACAGCCTTGCCACTCAAAAAGTAGCTGATTAGTACTATTACGTCATGAATTTAAGTGCAAGATTTTAAATTCTTATTCATTTCATTTCAATAAAAAAGGTGAAGAGGGACGAGAGAGTCATGACCAGAAGCTGTACCCAAGCGTACAACAGCCTTGCCACTCAAAAAGAACACTTCATCCGAAGAACTGTGGAGACTTTCAACTACCTCAAGGACCGTTCGTACCCGCTGAACATCACCCCTGATGCGAAGCGAGACATAAGGAGGAGATCCCACTGTTTCACCATAGGGCAGAGCGAGGCTGAGGAATGGCCCGGGATTTATGGACACTCGGAACCAGAGGAGAGGCTGTACTACCTGAAAAAAGTGCGCAGAACTGGTGGCCAAGAGGAAGTTGAGGAGGAGGACGATGAAGATCGTCAAGGGCGGGAGGAGAAGCCGTGCAGGCGATTGGTTGTCACAACGGAGGAGGAGCAGAATGTGGCCATTATGAAAGTGCATGTTGATGAAAATGGTATGTGAATTTTGAATTTTGTTTGATTCTGTTGGATATTATTCTATTTTGTTTATAGAACTCAAGATTGCCTTCATAGAGTCTACAAGTTTGAAAGCAATGGAATACAGAAGAAATACTATAATTCTGTCCACCTTTTGTATGTAATTTTCTTTGCTCGTACAGTGACTAATTGTTGAAAATTTGGCATATTCTATATTTAAACTTGCACAAAAATCTTTCTGATAAAATATGAGTTTTATGAAAAATAAGGATCATATGGGTTTAAGCAACATTTCCTCATTGTAGAGTTGCCCTCTTAACAAATTTTCTTCCATTTGCTGATTTGTTTTCTCATTTGAAGGAATGCATATATCTCAAGCGCGTACGTATAGCATACTTGCTGAACTCTACTACTGGTTGGACATGAAGACCAGTGTAAAAAAGTATATCTACGACTGCAATTGTCCCTTGCCACCCCATGGGAGAGTGCCTGAAGACCAACAAACTGGAGACAGCCCTGTATTGAAACAATTCTCAATTAAACTCCACAAGGTAATCTTTTTAGGAGTGTATTTGCAGGAAGTACCAAATAAGGTGTCAGCATTTTCTAAATTAATTATGAATCACTCATTGAAAATAGTTTGCTCTGTATGTTTTTGGTTCTGTGCTAATGTACTACTAGTGTGTGCAAAACATCAGCATCAATATTTCTTGCCTTCAACAATAAGTGATGAATTTCTAACACATTGTTGTCCATCACATTTTCTCAATTGGTAATTATAGTTTCATTATGAAAGTCGTCTCCAATACATTATTTGCAAAAGAACTACCTGAAAATAGTTTCTGCCACATTGCATCCTGTGCAGCATGTAACATACAGTGTGTGTGTGTCATGCATTATACTACCCAGTGAGAGCCCAAAGGGTGTTATTCTTGACATAGCAATGTGTTGTTCCTATGAAAGTTAACACCCTTTAGGCATTTAAAAGATGATCTATTTAACTTGCTTCTACCAAGCTCTGCTTTAAAGCCCTACTGTACTACTTGTAGCTACTTGCTCCCTCTATAAAGAAAACAATGCCTAATCTGTGACCATTGGTCCCCCATGATCCTCTTTTTCTTATGTTAATTGAGACCTGAGTTGATGAGAAAGCCGCCTGTCAGTGACCACCCTGGGTGGTCTTATCCCTCCTGGCTAAACTAGTACAGACAGGCTTTAAACAAAAAATAATAATCCTACTGTGTCAAGATTTTATTTCAATAATCTCTTTGTTTTCTCCTGTATCTTCTGTAGGTGATTCCTCCGCCCCTTCCAGTGGCAGTGAAAAAGGAAAAGCTACTGCTACCACCGGAGCTTACCGAGCTTCCCGAAGGCCTATCACACATAGCTAGGATCAGTACAGAGATGGAGGCGCTAATCGTCTACCTGTATCTCAAGTGGCAGAAGTACCCTCCAGGCTGCACCGTCGGGTTCAAGCGGATGGTGCGTAAGAAGGCCAGGTCGTTCTGTTTTGAAGAGGATGGAGGGGACGATGAGGATAAGACCTGGTGGTTGTTCTATAAAGGAGATTCAAACAGGGGGCAGACTTATACAGGGCAGGTGGTGGAAGCACAGGAGACTACAGGAGATGCGACGGACATAGAGCGTGCTCGGGTGCGGGAAGCCGATGGGATTGCAGAACCCATGGAAACGGCAGAGTCTACAGGAACAGAAGAGTCGGAGGAAATGGGAAAAGCAGTCCGGGCTCTAGAGATCGTAGAGAGTGAGGTGACTGTGGAGACTGATACTGTGTCGCCTAAAGTGCCTGTGATGATCCGAAAGGAACGCTCAATGTATTATGGGACTAGGAACAGGCTCTTTGTGTTCAGGAAAGCAGAACAGGAGAAAATCATCCAACTTTTGCATTTGAATGGAGGAAAGAATGGTGGGTGTTTATTATTATTCTTACGAATGGCATATCATCGACGCATGGGTTGCAAAAAAGAAAAAAAAATGAAAGTGTATTCGTGAGAAATTGACAATTGAAACAGAAATAATGGGTTGATACATGTCTGTCAATAGTAAATAATTCTTCTGACGATTTTTAGTCAATATTCAATTCAAAATGGTGATTATATTCAGAGGATTTCATTTTTTGGGGGCCTGCTAATGGGCCACCCTGCCTTTAAATAATGTTCCAACCTCAATTTTTCATCATATCGAATTGCGGAATGCAGGCGAGACCGCCGAGAGCGTTTCCCTTATTATGGCCTGTGAACATCATTTGGTCATGCGTAGAGGAGTGTTCACAAACTGAAATACTGTTCTTTATTTTTGTACTGTAGGAGAGCATGCTGGTCGTGACAGGATTTACAACATGATTGGCCGTCACTTCTTCTGGCGGGGGCTTAGGGATCACATCATGTTTGTCATCATGAAGTGTAAGAGATGTCACAGGAAGAAAACTGCAGGCAAGAGCACAGACTACGCCCTCTATCTTCAAGACTTGTACAATGTAAGCTTGTTTATCGCTTCTGTCACATTCATTCATTCATTTTCGATCCAATCGTCTTCATGTTTGAATAAATCCTGTCCATACTGTGCATTTGTAATACATTTGTCACTGTTCATTTCGATTTTGTTCAATTTCTCTTGCCGTCTCAGTAATTATCTCTTGGGCAAAATTGTGCCCACCTGTATGATTTATTGAATGAATATATATTTATGTTGATAGAGCTCATAAAAGATGAAAAATTGGAAATTTCCCCAGAAGTAAACATTAATCTTTACTCTGAAAGCAGATAAAGGCCCAATGGACTACTTATAGCTATTTGCGCCCTCTATATAGCAAACAATGCCTAATAGGTGGCCACTGGTTCCTCATGATCCTCTTTTTCTTATGTTAATTGAAAGCTGAGTTAATGAGATAACCACCTGTCATGTGACCTTGCAGGGCATTCAAATCCCCCCTGTACACTAGTACAGATAAGCTTTAAAATAAGTCTATCGGGACAAATATCCTAAAGTATTTTTTTAATACTCTCCAATTAGGAAAGCTACTTGGAAAATAAAACATCTTCACTTTAGTCATAGACAGGAAACTAAATGCACACATTTTCATTAAAAAAAATCATTAAAATTTGTGCGATTGATCACTGTATTTCCTTTAATTTGACCCATCAAAAATGTCTTAGTTTGTTTTAAATTTATTCTGCACGATCGTCATCAGAAATCAAATGAGGATGCCTTTGACGAGGATCTGTCATCACACCAACTACCGCTGCACATACAAACCTACCTAGAGAATGCATTGAGAATGGAGGCTGAGTGGGAGGCAGAGGATCACAGACAAGGTGAGTGAATAAAGATTGATAACCCGGTAAAGCTTTAAAGCCCCACTGGACTACTTATAGCTACTTGCGCCCTCTATATAGCAAACAATGCCTAATCGGTGACCATTGTTCCGCAATGATCCTCTTTTTCTTATGTCAATTGAGAGAAAATTATTTGTTGAGATAACCACCTGTCGGTGACAATGCAGCGAGGTCTAATCCCTCCTGGCCAAACTAGTGTGGTGGGGCTTTTAGTCCGCTCTGAAGGGACTTGGTAATGAGGATTAATGCCTTACCAAAGGGCAGTAGCGCATCTACTTCGTTTAAAACCTGGGACTTCCTGGTTACAAGAACACTGCTTTACCATTGAGCCACTGGGCTGCCTCTGCAGACCTACCAACCAGTACGATTTAGTTGTATTTAGTACGATTTTTAGAAGCAAATACGACAGTACGATTTTCCTCAATAAAATACAATTTTCAACAAATTTTTTTTTTTTATTTAAAAAAATAAATAATTTGTGTTGTTGTTGGTATTTCGTGTGTGTGTGCCATTTTCAATGGCAAAATGCCCATTCTGTCCAATAAAGCATCTCACATCGGTAATTTGGGGATGTTCATTGGTTCATCGAACACACCAGTCGTGACAAAATCATGCATATATTCAACCAATGATCCATAAAAAAATTCTTCCTGTATGTAGGAACTGTAAGAGGCATTGATCCGCGTAACAGTCTGTGTTTATTTTTAAGAATACAACTTTTGTCAGCAAAATACAACTTTTGGTATTAAAGAATACAGTTTTTGAACTCCAGAGGTTGGCAGGTCTGCCTCTGTGAGGCCTGGTAAAGGAGAAAAATCAGGTGTTTCTTATTCTTTTTGTTATTTTATGTGCGTTTAGAAGGATATTATAGAAGACATACATGTACATCCTCGGAAAAGGATTGCTCTTTAAATGTCCTCATATGAGAAATACATGTAGTTCAACAGTTTGGACCAAACATTCATGCCACATGTGCGCGTGTGTGGTACCGTATTCCCATAGAAAACCAATTCTTATATTCTACATAATCAACCTTTCTCAATTGTTTCCAGAGTCCAGACAGTTTTTGTCACAATGCAATCATTTACCTAGAAGTCAACTTGATCTTAAAGAGCCCACTCGGACATGATGTCATAACCTGCTTCAAAATACTGCGATTGGAAATAAAATAATATAAGGACATAATTTGTGGACATGAATCTCTATAGTGTGGCTCACAGAGCATGTGTTGGAGCATTTTTTCACACATCTATTTTTTTTGTCCACCATTCTATTACTCACAAATCAGTTTTTCTTTTGCTGTGGCGTTTTTTCTTCTTCTTCTTACTTTTACGCCTCAAGGTTTAAGGTTGAAATCTGTTAAGTATTGGGTACATTTACCCCCCTAATTCATTCTTTGGAAATTGTCCCATAGCCATCTCACATGATATGATTTATGTGGTTTCAAACCAAAACTTAATTGAAACTCTAAAATAAAGCTTTCAAAAGTTGTCTCAAAAGACAAACATTAAGAGTTATGATGTGATGTGACTAGATACAAATAAATTTTACTCATGAAGATTAGGATAATCATTGTGGTCATACTCATAATATTCACACAAAGGCTTAACCATATCTAGCCCGGGTGGGTGGCTTTAGAAGCCCCCCTCCCCCCTCTACATTTTTCGCGAGAATGTTTTAACGCCAAAGAATCTTGCGCTGAAATGTTGTGACTTTTTTTCTTTTGAGTCTTGTGCATCTTTTAAAATAATTTTTTTGAAAATCGGACCTACCATTACAAAGTCACGTGACCGTTTGTCTTTGCATGTCAGCCCGAATATTTCCAAAAGATAGATAAATATTAGTTATTTGGTCTTGTTTATAGTTTAGGTGTTTATTTTGGGGCTCAAAATAGTTGAATCAAACTTAGAATTAAAATACAACAACTAAAAAAATAAAATACATAGATTATAAAAACAAAGAAATACATAAGAAATTATCAAATCAATAGAAAGCAAGGCATAAACTGGCTCTTCCGACTTTTTATGCCTCCGCCACCGAAGGTGGTGCCGGAGGCATCATGTTTTCGGGTTGTCCGTCCGTACGTCCGTCCCGTTTGACCGTTATCACAATATCTCAAGAACCATTTAAGATTTAAACTTAAGACTCGGGAATAGTATTTATCACCATAGGAAGACGATCTGATTAGATTTTGGAGTACGTAGGTCAAAGGTCACAGGTCACAGAGGTCAACTTATGAAATTCCTTGTATTGAGTTTGTTAGCGCGATATCTCAAGAACCATTTGAGATTTAAACTTCAAACTTAAGGATAGTATGTATCACCATAGGAAGACGATCTGATTAGATTTTGGAGCACGTATGTCAAAGGTAAAGGGTCACAGAGGTCAACTTATGAAATTCCATACATTGAGATTGTTATCATGATATCTCAAGAACCACTGGAGATTTAAACTTCAAACTTAGTGATAGTGTGTATCACTATAGGAAAAAAATCTGATTACATTTTGGAGCACGTAGGTCAAAGGTCAAGGGTCATAGAGGTCAACTTATGAAATTCCATACATTGAGATTGTTATCATGATATCTCAAGAACCACTGGAGATGTAAAAACTTCAAACTTAAGGATAGTATGTATCACCATAGGAAGACGATCTGATTAGATTTTGGAGCACGTAGGTCAAAGGTCAAGGGTCACAGAGGTCAACTTATGAAATTCCATACATTGAGATTGTTATCATAATATCTCAAGAACCACTGGAGAATTTTCACTTCATACTTAATGATAGTATGTATCACCATATCATAATATCTCAAGAACCACTGGAGATTTAAACTTCCAACTTAATGATAGTGTGTATCACCATATGAAGACAATCTGATTAGATTTTGGAGCATGTAGGTCAAAGGTCAAGGGTCACAGAGGTCAACTTATGAAATTCCATACATTGAGATTGTTATCATGATATCTCAAGAACCACTGGAGATTTAAACTCCAAACTTGTTTAAACTGCTCTATGGCGGAGGCATCATTTTCGACTGCGCGCAGTCAAAATTCCATCTAGTTTTTGTTATATTATTATCCCAAACGGTCCAAATAATATATGTAGTGAAAACTAATGTTTAAATATTAAAAATATACATGTATGATTTATGGGTAAAATGTGAGTTGTATTACCTTATTTACCTTAAATATGCAAAGGAGTGAATTGGTCAAAAAAAATTAATTTACCTTAGTAATCTATACACTTCTCTTGACATGCATGCAAATTTTCGTGGCGATCAGGGGTTTAAAGGTCGAGATCATAGGGGCCCCCTATGATCTTGACCTTTGAACGCAATTTTAACATAGCCTGGCTAGATAGGATTAAGTATTTGATGAATCTATATTCTTCATTTCAGGGACCATCGTGAATTCTAACGGGTCTTTCACTGAAGCAGATCAAGCTGTGCATGGTCTCGTCAAGGATACAGCCACCGAAGAGTCCAGACTGGCCGATGGAGACATTTTCTGTCGTCATCCATGCGATTCTTGCCACAGGAGGTTCAGAGACAGGGACAGCTTACGTCGCCACAAGTGGGCTCAACACACAGGGAGGAGATCATCCGTCGAGTGTACGGTGTGTGGGAAGAAGACCAAAGATCTGCTCACTCACATGCGGTGTCATACCAAAGAGAGACCCTTAGAGTGTGAACTATGCAATAAACGCTTCCGGTACAGGGGCGGACTCACTCACCACAGGAAAGTACACGCCGGGCTCAGGCCTTTTTCATGTCCAGAGTGCCCCCAGCGATATGTTTCTCGTAGTGACTTGAATAATCACTTCAAGTCTTGCCATGAAGGCAGCGGAGAATACCAATGCGAGGTTTGTGGGAAGAGCTTTGTTACGCAAGTGAGGCTGGATAAACATAAAAAGCTTCACGAGGAATCGAGGGAGACGTTCGTCTGCGACATCTGCGGGAAGGTCCTCGCGAGTGCCTTCACCCTCAAGTTCCATATGCACATCCACACGGGGGAGAGGCACGTCCTGTGTGAAGTGTGCGGGAAAGGCTTCAAGAAGAAGTGCGACCTTTCCAAACACATGAACCACCACATGGGTATCAAACCCCATCAGTGCCATCTATGTCAGCAACGCTTCTGCCTGAAGAGTGATCTTGAGGATCATGTGAGGGGTCATGAAGGGGCATCCCTCTACCAGTGTGACGTGTGCGACAAGAAATTCAAGAACAAGCGCAGCGTGGCAAGGTGTAAGAGGAGACATGCTGCTCAAGCTTCCGCGGCAGCCGAGGAAGCCTTCCAGTGCAATACTTGTGGAGATGTAATGGGGACGTTGGTGGAATTTACGCAGCATATGGATGCCCATGTACATGCAGGAGAGCAAGTTATCCAGCAGGAAGTGGAGATTGAATAGAAACTTTTCATTGTTGGTGCTGCGAGGAATGTTATGAATGTGATGCAAGTGTTTTTACTGGGTTCGTTATGTATCCACAGCCCTGTGACTGTATAGTGGTACATGTATACTGGTATAGGGGTTGATTAAAATTTGATTTGGTTGACGATAAACATTGTATCATGAAAACAGAAGTAAATTTGAAGCGATAAAAAGAAGATAGAAAAGAAAAAAATTTTGATACATGTACATTTGGAGTGAAATATACCTGGAAGCAGCAAGTAATTGAACTCAGGAAAAGGTCCAAAGAACTCTGGTAAATTGAAAGCTCTAGGGTGAGAAAAATAAAGTACAGTGATGACCAGGTCATATGGTGAACGCAGCTTCGCTCACACTGCCTCAACTTCATGGAACAATCTCCCGGAACATCTAAAAAACATTGACGCCATTGTTAAGTTTAAGATTGCTTTAAAGACGCACTTATTTAACATTTAATTCATCCATTTTGTTCGTTACCCTGTATGTCTTGTCTTTGTATTCTGTTATGTTTTTTCTCTAGAGCGCTTAGGGACATGTTTTAATACTATGTGTTATGCGCTATACAAGAACGGTTAATTATTATTATTATTACCCCCCCCCCCCCCCCCCCCCCCCTCCTAAAAAAAAAAAAAAAAAATCATGGCAAGAAAATCATTTGTTTTATAATTGTAATTATAATCCAATCCAAAACTAGCTCCTGGGATCAATACATATATATTTTTATGCCTCCGTTACGTAGTAGCCGGAGGCATTATGTTTACCGGTTGTCCGTCCGTCCGTACGTCCCGTTCTTGTGATCGCGTTATCTGAAGAACCGATTGATGGATTCCTGCCAAACTTTGGTCATGTATGTATCTTGCAGAGCCGATGAACTTAGTAGATTTTGGGGTCACGAGGTCAAAGGTCAAAGGTCACATGGCTCATAATGTATTCAAAAACAGCTCGTGATCGCGTTATCTGAAGAACAGATTGATGGATTCCTGCCAAACTTGGGTCATCTATGTTACTTGCAGAGCCGTTGAACTGATTAGATTTTGGGGTCATGAGGTCAAGGTCAAAGGTCATGCGGCTCTTTATGTATGCAAAATTAGCTTGTGATCGCATTATCATTAGAACAGATTGATGGATTCCTGCCAAACTTAGATCATGTATGTATCTTGCAGAGCCAATGAACTGAGTAGATTCTTGGGTCATGAGGTCAAAGGTCAAAGATCATGGGCTTATTATGTATGCAAAAATAGCTTGTGAACGCATTCTCATTAGAACTGACAGATGGATTACTATTTAACTCAGGACAGCTTGCAGAGCCAATGAACTGAGTAGATTTTAGGGTCATGAGGTCAAAGATTAAAGGGTCATATATGTATATGAGAAATTGCTTGTAATCACGATATTCTGAGAACCTGTTAATGGATTACAATTGAACTTGAATTTGAAAAATTTCTTCTTCTTCTGTTTTGGTTTGTAAAATTGCTCTATGACGGAGGCATCATTTTCGACTGCGCGCAATCGAAGTTTGAAATGCTAGCAAATTATGGTAGTCTACTGTATTGAGGAATTAGTGATGGCCCTCTCCAGTGCATCCCAGACTAAAAGGAAACCTGAAATTAATTAGATATTGTGAGCAAAATATGAGTGGTACAAAATAAGAAGTTGATCGCACATATCATACAGGCTTCCCTGAGCAATGGTGTTTTGAAAAAGACATGTTGAAATCCGTTTGTGCCCGATTTTTGTTAAACTGTCCAAAAACCTTAGGATCACAAGAGGGAATTGTAGTTATTAACAGAAGATTGAAACCATGTGAAGTCATTGTAACAATATTATTAAATGTTGATTTATAACAAATGAAAAGCGACGTTTTCCATGATTGTTTTTATGTAATCGTATAGGCTTGTACATCTTTTGAATTTTCAATAGCTAAAAATGACAATCACAATAATTTATTACAGGGATGGGGGGGGGGGAAGGATGAGTGCTCGCATCTTCAAACTGTAGACTAATTAGCAGCATACTGGATTGAGAGAGGGGGAGGTAGAGGTAGAGAGGGAAGTAGAGAGAGAGAGAGAGAGAGAGGGAAGGGGGGGGGGGGGGGGGGGGAGGTAGAGAGAGTGGTAGAGGAAAAGCGAGATGAAGGGAGATGGGGGAGAGGGAGAGAAATTAGGGAGGGGGTAGCAGAGAGAGAGAAAGGTGTTATGAAGGTAACAACTTACACTATGAACATGTCGGACAAAAAAAGCGGACAAAATATATAAGTGAATATGCATGTGACACCTGTTCTACACATTTTTACATAAAAGCAGTGAAGGGATGTTCCTTTGTCTACCAGAGGAACTGTATATTTTGTCCGCTTTCTTTGTCGGTCATGTTCATAGTGTTAATGGTTGGAGCTATGAGATGATACTCCTGAAAAATGGTGAATAAGCTGTCCTGGCAAAGGAACTTTGTACTAATTTATTTTTAGGGGGGGGGGTGATGGCTATTAAAATGGGAAATGGGGGACATTTTCTCTTCTATTCTATTGGTAATTGAAAAAAAGGTTTCATCCCTTCTTTGGGGGGGGGGGGGGGGGAGACAACTCCTAAAATAAAGTACATGGGTGGTATTCCGATAGGCGAACCAAGTTAATCCTTACTGTACTGGGAGTATTTCGGAGATTGCGCCGCAACCTCTTGGAATTTTGAATTGTTGTTTCATGACTTTTTTCCCCAAGTCTTATGCACATTTTCATCCCATTTTCATAGAAATCGGATATACCTGTAAGGTGTTACATTTCGATTAGTATGCGCATGTCATCAAAAATATGCTATAATTGCATATATTCATGTACAAGCAGAAATTTGAATACAGGTTTAGATGTATTTCTTCCTAAGTGGGAGATATGAATTGATATCAAATTGCTTTTATATGTTTCTCAAAGTAACTTGATGTATTCCAGAACAAAAGAATACATTAGAAATAAAACAATAGATATAATAAGAAATAAAAAACAATAATATACAAAAGAAAATAAATATTTGAAAATCGCATCAAATTTGCATGAATTATCATTATTAATTACATCAAAATAACTAGTTTGTGTTAGAAAAGAAGTTTCATATGAATAATGAGTTTCAATTAACATTCAAAAAGTGGAGTCTGACAATTTTAGTAATGATTCTGGTTCCCTGTATATTTCCAGATTTGATATTTATTAATGCGTATTCATAATTTATGCAAATTAACCTATGCATTTTCAAATATAAAAATAATGTAACCTCTGAAGTTGAGATGAATATAACATTTATTCAATACATTTTCGACAAACAAGTCTACAGACAAATATGTAGAGTTTTCTGTAAAATGCATAAAATTAGCATTTTGCATAATTAATTACGACAAAAATTTTCCGCATATTAGGAAAAAACTAATTATACCATCTTGTTCGTTACGTAAATATCTACAAAAAAAGCAAATTTCCGTGTTCATCGGACTTTCGACGGCCGAGATCATGGGGGGGGGGGGGGGGGGGGGGCTCCCAGGCCCTCCCCCCCCCCTCAGTCACGAGGTGCTCAAAATAGCCCAGTACAGTAAGGGTTAAGCCTGGCTTTAACTTAGTCCACACTTTTATGGAGTGCCCCTGTACAGATTATTTTAATCCTGCATTGAAAAGTGTCCACAAAAAATCTAATTTGCAATAAAATGTGAAGAAAAAGATAATACGAGTATGAACTGAATTTCAACAAAGTCTTTGGTAGATTATCTTTGTCATGGATATTGACGGAGGAAGATGAAACCTAGCATTCCATAGAAGTGTGAACTAAAATTTTTGTTTAGTCAGGACTTAGTCCCGGCTTAACTTATGAGAATACCACCCTTGTATTTAAATGTGTTATCATTTAAAACGAAAGATTGAAGGAGATGTAAAAGAGGAAAGAACAAGGAGAAACATCTAGAAATCATGTTCATATTAGGTAATGTATGTACATGTAATGTACATGTATGTAATTGTCATTTTTGTTTATTTGTAAAGATTACATCCTTAAACGGTTAGTGGGCAGGGGTGGATCCAGCCGGCGGCAGGGGTAGCGGCCCAATACGTACAAATATTTAGCGGCAAAACAGCCAGTCGGTGAGAATAAGCGGGGAAGGGGGGGGGGGGGGGAGTTAAATCGCACTTGTTTTTTCCCCAGCGGAGGGGCCCAGGCGGCCACCCCCCTGGATCCGCCACTGGTTGTGGTCTTCATCTGCCTGAACACATTTAAATATGTAATTACTTCATGTCTTCATGTCTTTCCTGCACCCATTGCGTAAAACACACATACCCTCTCTTCTATATCTAGCCCTCTCGCGCGCTCTCTCTCTCCCACTCTCTCTTTCTCTGTGTATTACTTCTATTTCGGTGCCTCCTCGCGATCTTTCTCTTTTACTCCCTCTCTCTCACTCTCTCTGTATATTTCGTTGCCCCCTTTTGATCTTTTTCTTTAATCTCAATCCCAGTTATTCTCCCACTCCACTCTGTAACTACTACTACTACTACTACTACTACTACTACTACTACTACTACTACTACTACTACTACTACTACTACTACTAATACTACTACTACTACTACTGCTGCTGCTGCTGAGCACTACTACTACTACTACTACTACTACTACTACTACTACTACTACTACTACAACTTCTACAACTACCACTACCGGTCGAAACCTTTGAATCTTCTTTTTTTTTCTCCCTACATCTCTGTATATCTCGATGAAATAGTTTATTTAACCAGAGGGTTTCATTGCAAAGCGCTTTAACATCTAACATGACTTGTGTCCTTTATGAAAATAGAATCAATCCGTCTATGACTACATGAATTAATAACCAAGTTAAATAATGCCATTGTAATGAGATTTTATGGTAGGCCAATGCTTCCCTAGCTATGTCCCTTTTGCAGCCAACATCAAATTCTGTAGAACTTTGCAGGAATTATGAATATGTCAGGTATGTCCTATCTGTGAAATTTAAACGTTAGCAGTGATGAGCTGTAAAGGGTACATGAGCATTTGTCTACATCAATAACTCACTTCTTGTAATGGCCACAATTAAACTGATTGAATCTTTGTGCAGCACAAAACGTACGACCATTCGGTACAATGGTCTAAAAATCAAACTATTACTTACTGACTTGGTAGCACTCACATGTAAGTCGATTCGACAATTAATATTCGTTATATTCCCACTTAAAGACATTTTCAAACCTCTTTTTTTTAGGGAGGTTCTAAATTAGTATCATCTTTCATTTTTTGGGCCTGCAGATGGGATAAAGTACCTTTACTACTTCAATGA